TCTTCAGCCGGCTCCTTCCTCTCCCTCCTCTTCCTCCTCCAAGACCTCCTCCTCTGGACCTCCTCCTTCCTGGAAACCCTGAACCACGACCCTGAGGGGGGAGGAAGAAAGAGGGGGTATGGAAAGGGAGAGGGAGGATGAGGTGTATCAAGTAGAGAAGGGGGAGAATGAAGAAATAAGAGGAGGAGCGAGGAGAGGTGGAGGAGGAAAAAACGGGGAGTAACATCAAACCATGACCTCACTGTGTTACTGACCGGGCGTACTTCACAAACATCACTGACAATGGCAGGGTTCCCTCACCGACCTGGCATTTAAGAACTTCCAGGTTTATTTCCCAGTCAAATGTAAGGACACTTCCTGTTCCGTCCGTCAGCCCAGATCGAGCTGCTACATTTTAATGTTTACTTGCGTTTACTTTAAATGTGTTCAAAAGGTTAAAAGTATTTTTCTCCAATCCACTAACTTTCCAGGCCTGTGGGAACCCTTTAATCAGGAGCCTCCCTGCGCTGCCACCAGAAATCAGCTCTCTACGGTTAAACTGGAGCCCGGCCATCAGACCCCGCCTTCACCCTCGATAAATCTAATAAACACTTTGCCCTGTAGTAAATCAGACCCTGCAGCGCTCTTCTTCAAGGTTAGGCCCTGCCCACCACACTCACACTGTAATAAGCAACGCACAGTGAGCAGCCGGTAAAACCCTTGACCTGACGTCAGATCTGCACCACCTTCACACCCCAGAGGGGTGGATGCACACAGACAGGCAGACTGGAAGTTAGGGTGCACTTGTTTTTCACATCGTTACATCCCAGAGGGGGTGGGGTGGGGTGAGTTAACACAGTTAGTAAGCTGATGGTTAGTTAGGGTGTGCTTCTTTACCACTCTCATGCTCCAGAGGGGGGAGTCCGGAGGACGGGGCTTAGGGCTGTCCCACCCTCCCTCCCCCCGTGGAATCCTGGGAGGACGAGGGGGGGCTCACCGCCCTGCGATTACTCCACCACGAACCCTGAGTCAGGGGGGAGGAAGAGGAGGAGGAGAGGAAGGCGGATGAGAGAAGAGGTGGGAGGAAGGGGGGACAAAATGCAGTAACATAAATGCAACAGCCACGAAACAAAAAGTCAAACTGAAAAAATTAATCAGGCAAGAAAACAAAGTCAAAAAGAGACGATGTTACTATGACAACATGCAACCAGTCAGGAGAGTCATATTGGGCGCTAAAGAGATCGTGATGCTAACAGAACGTTATGAACAAGCTGAAACCAATGCTAAGTGTACGTAGCAGCCTAGCTAGCTCGTATCTGATTGTCTGTGTCGCCTATCTGCTGTTAATGAGGAGGCGTTCATCAGAAAACTGCTTTACAAATACTTATACATATATTCTTTATTCTAGGATTCTATTCATTTCTAAGATTAATATGAAGCCCAAATCAGCGCGGACATAGAGCCACTGATCCAGAGATAATCCAGTTTTGATGAGGCTATAACACAAACATTCAAACAAACAGCTTCATGCAATGATGAGTGTGAACTCAACATGCTGCAGTAAAGAAAGAATGGATGCAGCATCAGTGAATGACAGGTGAGAAAGAAGAGGAAGACTAGTGTGTTGGTTCCCCTAACACACAGATCCTGAGGTGGCTGATGGAACAGAGGAAAGAGGACTGACGGACCTGAACCAGCTTTAACAAAATGTAATTCAAACAACTTCTTCGAATATATTTGACAAAGTAAAAAAAAAAAAATAAAAGATGCTTAAATCAATCTAAAGAAACACTCAGAAACTTTGTTGTCATTGATTTATGAGTTACTTCAAGCATTTTCTCAGTTCAGCTTGTTGCTCACAGTCTTGAGTGACGGGATAAACACGTTAAACAAGCTTCATTTGGACAGAAGAAATGATTAACGTGCGGAGCCAGAAACAAACCTGCAGACCAACTGGTTATGAAACAATCAATAGTTGCAGCCCTAGCTTGAGAAAGTGTCAATTGGCGGACTACAAGCCAGATCTCAGGTTCCTTAGAAAAGCATTCCCAAAATATCTAAAAATAACATAACGTCCAGACTTTGGAATTAGCTTTGTTTTCATTGGGACAAAGTCAGGCAGAAATATTCATCTGAACACTGACGACTACAGAAAGAGACGAGCTGTTTGACGATTGAACAATTAACCGATTAATAAAATTAGATCTATAAATAAATCCATGGTTAGTTTCAGTCCCGGTGCCGCTCATCTCCATCACATGTTGTAAGCTGGGGTTAAAGCCAGCAGGATGACAGCACAAAGGTTCAAACTCACACAGTCCAGAGGTCACCTACCTGTTTGACCCTGGCTCTGCCCGGGGAGAACTTCCTCTTAGAGATGGCTGGTTTCCCCATTCCGATTTTAGGGGTGAGGGGCAGCACAGTGGTGGGAAGTGCCTGTGGCTGGAAACAGAAAATATACAAGGAGAGGTCAGTCATAAGGACGAGATGGTCAGGAGGAGGAGAAAACAACGAGGAAACAGTCACTAGGAGGAAAAAACAAGGAAGAGACTGTCAGTAGGTGCAGAAAACAAGGAGGAAACTGTCACTAGGTGCAGAAATCAAGGAGAAACTGTGACTAGGTGCAGAAATCAAGGAGGAAACTGTCACTATTTAGAGAAAACAAGGAGGAAACTGTCACTATTTAGAGAAAACAAGGAGGGAACTGTCACTATTTAGAGAAAACAAGGAGGGAACTGTCACTATTTAGAGAAAACAAGGAGGAAACTGTCACTATTTAGAGAAAACAAGGAGGGAGCTGTCACTATTTAGAGAAAACAAGGAGGAAACTGTCACTATTTAGAGAAAACAAGGAGGGAACTGTCACTATTTAGAGAAAACAAGGAGGGAACTGTCACTATTTAGAGAAAACAAGGAGGAAACTGTCACTATTTAGAGAAAACAAGGAGGGAACTGTCACTATTTAGAGAAAACAAGGAGGGAGCTGTCACTATTTAGAGAAAACAAGGAGGAAACTGTCACTATTTAGAGAAAACAAGGAGGGAACTGTCACTATTTAGAGAAAACAAGGAGGGAACTGTCACTATTTAGAGAAAACAAGGAGGAAACTGTCACTATTTAGAGAAAACAAGGAGGAAACTGTCACTGTTTAGAGAAAACAAGGAGGGAACTGTCACTATTTAGAGAAAACAAGGAGGAAACTGTCACTATTTAGAGAAAACAAGGAGGAAACTGTCACTATTTAGAGAAAACAAGGAGGGAACTGTCACTATTTAGAGAAAACAAGGAGGGAACTGTCACTATTTAGAGAAAACAAGGAGGGAACTGTCACTATTTAGAGAAAACAAGGAGGGAACTGTCACTATTTAGAGAAAACAAGGAGGGAACTGTCACTATTTAGAGAAAACAAGGAGGGAACTGTCACTATTTAGAGAAAACAAGGAGGGAACTGTCACTATTTAGAGAAAACAAGGAGGGAACTGTCACTATTTAGAGAAAACAAGGAGGGAACTGTCACTATTTAGAGAAAACAAGGAGGGAACTGTCACTATTTAGAGAAAACAAGGAGGGAACTGTCACTATTTAGAGAAAACAAGGAGGGAACTGTCACTATTTAGAGAAAACAAGGAGGGAACTATCACTATTTAGAGAAATCAAGGAGGGAGCTGTCACTATTTAGAGAAAACAAGGAGGGAACTGTCACTAGGTGCAGAAATCAAGGAGGAAAGTGTCACTAGGTGCAGAAATCAAGGAGGAAACTGTCACTATTTAGAGAAAACAAGGAGGAAACTGTCACTTTTGGGAGAAAACAAGGAGGGAACTGTCACTGTTTAGAGAAAACAAGGAGGGAGCTGTCACTGTTTAGAGAAAACAAGGAGGGAACTGTCACTATTTAGAGAAAACAAGGAGGGAACTGTCACTGTTTAGAGAAAACAAGGAGGGAGCTGTCACTGTTTAGAGAAAACAAGGAGGGAACTGTCACTATTTAGAGAAAACAAGGAGGGAACTGTCACTATTTAGAGAAAACAAGGAGGGAACTATCACTATTTAGAGAAATCAAGGAGGGAGCTGTCACTATTTAGAGAAAACAAGGAGGGAACTGTCACTAGGTGCAGAAATCAAGGAGGAAAGTGTCACTAGGTGCAGAAATCAAGGAGGGAACTGTCACTATTTAGAGAAATCAAGGAGGGAACTGTCACTAGGTGGAGAAATCAAGGAGGGAACTGTCACTATTTAGAGAAATCAAGGAGGGAACTGTCACTAGGTGGAGAAATCAAGGAGGAAAGTGTCACTAGGTGCAGAAATCAAGGAGGGAACTGTCACTATTTAGAGAAAACAAGGAGGAAACTGTCACTATTTGGAGAAAACAAGGAGGAAACTGTCACTATTTGGAGAAAACAAGGAGGAAACTGTCACTATTTGGAGAAAACAAGGAGGAAACTGTCACTGGAAGGTAAAAGAAGGAGGAGACTTATTTACCAGATTTACCTTGGAGAGAGGTGGAGACTCTCTGGTAGCGGGGGAGGACCGGAGAGGAGGTGACAGCGGGGAGAGCGGAGGCGGGGTCATGGGAGCTCTGGTGGGGGAGGTCTCAGGGGAGGCCTCTGTGGAGAAGGGAGACTGCCTCAGACGGATGGCGAGGTCATCTGATGGCCTAGAGGAGCAGAGAGGAGGTCTGAGAGTCCGACCCTTTCCCCGGCGGGAGAAGGGAGGCGGGCTGTGGGAGGACAGGTGGAGGAGGGAGGGGGGAGGAGATGACGTCATCAGCTCCAACACCTCCATGTCTAAAGAGTGCTCCAGTTCCAGCCCTGGGCTCACTGGCTCCTCCTCCTCCACATCTGATTGTTCCTCCTGCTCGGTGCCCTCCCTCTCCTCCTCCACTTCCTCTTCATCCTTCACACCACTCGCTCTCATCTCCTCCTTCGCATCCTGCTTCTCCCTCATCGGCTGTTGTCCTGCAACCACCTTATGAGCAGCTGACCCGGCTGGTGATGTTTGTTCTGGCGTTTCAGGAGGTTCCTCCTCCTCCCTCTCTGAAGGCTCAGCTTGTGATTGGTGCTTATCTTTGGTGAGGTCTGTTGCTGTAGCAACAGGTTCAAATTGGCGCTGTGATTGGCTGTCATCTGCCAACGTCACATGACAGGAAAGCGTTCTGTCCTCTAGCTCAGACTTTGCTCCCGTCCCCGTCTCGGCTTCTCTTTGATTAGTAGGTTTCTCTTCCTGGGGGAGGTCCTCCAGATGAGGGGAGGGAGAAGGTGGAGTGTGGGGGGAACAGGAGGGGAGTAAGGCAGTCCTGTGAGGGGAGGAGGTGGGGGAGGCCTCCAGAGAGCCAGCTCTAGGAGGAGGAGATAGTGGTGAGGGGAGGGGGAAGGCAGGAGGTGAAGATGACGGAGAGGAAGAGGGCTGTTGGAGGGGTAAGGCAGAGTGTGTTGTGGTGGGTTGAGGGGAGGGAGAAGCTGGCTGCGGGAGGAGGGGAGAGGCAGAAGCAGCAGTGTGAGGAGGAGACTGATGGTCTTCATTCAGTACAGATCCAAGCTGGACTCCTACAGAGAGCGAGAGATCAGGATGAAAGGTTCAGATATGGACCACCATGGTTCGACTCAGAGTGACTCAGTAATCTCAGCTGAGGTAACCCGCCTCACCTGCACTAACCCTCACAGCCGAGGTACCCTGCCTCATCTGAACTAAACCTCCCAGTACTGAACTAAATACAAGTTTAGAACTAACTTAATAAAAAGGTATATAAGTTATCTTATCAGTTTGAGAGTCAACAGAGCTTCCTACCTGAGGAACAGTTGGAGCTGCTGTGCTGATCCTTCTTCTGATCCTGTTCTCCTACTTCGGGACTCTGCTTTGCCGTCTGATAAGGCTCCTCCACCTCCTCCTGCTGTGGAGCTGCTCTCTCCAAGTCTTCCTCCTCTTTCTCAGCCACGCTGACATCTAAAAGCAGATGAAGACGTTTATAAACTCATCAAACCAAGTGAGTTCCACAAACGATCTGGAGTCACAGTAACAACCACGATTATCAGTGTCTCCTAGATACTCACCCACAGTGGATGCAGACTCCCTCCTCTCTGTCTGTGTGCGTTGCTGGGGGATGGAAACAGAAAGGCTTCCAGGACCAGGACCACCATCAAGCTGCACAGGGCTAGTAGGACCAGGACTAGGGCTAGTTTCAGATTGCCCAGGGGTGGCAAGAACAGGGCTAACAGAACCGGGACCAGCCTCACACCTCATAGGGCTAGCAGGACCAGGACTGGGACTAACCTCTGGCTGCACAGGAGTAGCAGGACTGGGATTAGTCTCTAGCCGCACCAAGCTAGGGATAACCTGGGTATGACCTGATTGCAAGGGGTCGCAAACAGGACTAGCAACTGGGCTAGTGTGCACAGAGCCTGCTTGAGCATGTGGAGAATTAGGAGGGCTAACCTGTGAGGGGGCAGAGGGCGGTTCACTAGTGTGGCTTGTGCTAGGCATCGCAGTGTTATCCTGAGTGGGAGAAGAATGGTCAGGGCTAGCATGGCTCGGACTGGCCTGAGTGTAAGTGGCATCAACAGGAGTGACTGGTCTTTGATACAAGGGGCTTCCCGAGGCAGTGCTTCCAACAGCATACCCATCGTGGGTATAGAGAGGACTTGCTGGGCACTGGCTAACCTGACTCAGTCTAGCCTGAATGGGGCTAACAGCAGATGAGTCATCAGGTAGGGAACTGGCAGGTGTTGGGCTCGTCTGCCTAATACAGTCTGTATGTTTAACAAGACCAGAATCAAGCTGAACCACATCGGGAAGAACAGAGCTCTTAATTACAGAACTGACCTCCTCCTTCACATCAAGACTTGAGTTAGGCAAAGCGGGGCTCAGCCGTGCCACAGTAAGGCCATACCCGTTTCCAGTGTGAGGAGCTGGGCTAGAATGGGGGCTACCTGTGGGGCTACAATATGTTTCACTGGCCTGAGCTGGACTGTGAGGTGGACTAACACAAGTGACAGTAGCATGTGCAGGGCTGCTGTATGTCATGCTAGCTAATGAGGGACTCCGTCTTTGGACTGGGCCTGAGTGGGCAGTACTAGAAGTGCTTTGTATGTGAACAGGACTAGCTTGACCAGCAGGACTAGACCTAGGTGGACTGATGATGAAGCTAACGTCACTTACGCAAGCAGAGCAGGAACTTGTCTGGCCACAATGGCTCAGACTGTGGCTAACAGGGCTACTAGCTGGGCTAGTATCAGTCAGCCTACAGTGTGGAGGACTAAAGTTTGTTGTAGGCAGGGGGCTTGTCTGTACTGGCGAAGTCTGCAAAGGACTGCAGGTAGTTTGTACATGTGAGGAACTTGACTGACCAGGATGTGTGGGACTTTGGCTTGTGTCAGTCTGTGCGAGCTCTGCAACACCACCAACAGACGGACTAATCCCATCTTGAGCATGCATGGAGCCCATCAGACTGTAGCCACTGTTAGCTTGTGTGATGACTGGCCTAGCATGAGTTGGGCTAGTATGTACTGGATTGTCCGGAGTGGAGATAGGATGACTCGGACAAGTTTCTGACTGATCGCGATTAGAGTGGTCGACAGCTAGCTCCATCTCCTCTTCCTGACAGGAGATGGGGTGGATGGGTGTAGCCAGTACTGCTGATAGGCTAGCTGGTTGTGTTGAGGATGTAACAGGTGGCGCCATGCAGTCAATTGGTTGCTCAGAGTAGCTAGCTCGAAGCGTTACAGGGCTAGCTGGTTGTGTTAAGGGGCTAGTCTCTGCAGCTTGAGGACTGACATGAGAAGCGCTATTCTGCTGTGGTACTGGACTAGCACAAGCCTGAAGAGAGCTGACAGGGTTAGTAGGCATTTGACTGCCATGTTTGGGACTAGCACTAGCTGAGCTATTTTGGATATGTATGGGGCTGGCTTTACCTTCAATAGCTTCTGTGAAGCTTGATGGGCATTCACAAGAAGGACTCTGATGAATGTGGCTTGCTGGGGGAGGAATTTCCTCCGTTTCATCAGCACAAGGCAAGCAAGTCAGGCTACAGTGTTCCAGTGAAGTGCTAATGTGAACAAGGCTTTCTGGTGTGGGCATGGCATGGACATGAAAGGGGCTAGAATGGTCCGGGTTAAGCGCACTACTCTGAACAGGACCAAGCTGGTTTGGGAATTTGCCATCCGGTGGCATTGCAGACAGGTCAGAAGTGTGGCTAAGAGGGATAGGGCTACTTTCCGGTGTTTGGCCATCAACGTTAAGACTCTGCATAGGGCTGTGCTCTGAAGACTTCAGCTCTGTGGTACCAGTTTGGTTGGATTCCTTTTTTGACTGTGTATCATGCAAAGAAGGAAGTAGGCTAAGCTGTGAAGGCCTAACAGGTTGTAAAGAGTGGGCCTGTACTGGGCTTGCAGGTTGTGACAGACTACACTGCGTGGCTCTGTGTGGGGCCAGTGCTGGGCTACATGGAGCTGAAATGGGCCTCTTTGAGGCGTGTCTTCTTGTTGGATGGGTAGACCTACAGAAGACAAGTGAGTGGTCCTGGTCCAGTGTAGAAATGTCCTGTGCAACCCCACATTGCAGCTGTGCAGGGCTGCTTGATCCAGGACTCTTATGGTCCAGTGTAGGTTCAGCATTCTGTGTTAGAGTCTGTGGATGTGATGTGCCGACTTGTGCAGGACTATGTCTTTGTGGGGGACTGTGCTGAATCTGTGTGATGATGTTCAAAGGACTACATGGTTTCTCAAGCTGCGTCTGTGAAGTGTTGCCCTTAGCAAGACAATGTGGTGGAGGGCATTGTGGTGGCTCACCAGGCCCTGGCTGAACCCGAATAGGACTAAGTCCTGCTTGGTGTGGGCTGTTTGGAGAATGTGCATGGCTACAAGGCATAGGACTACCCTGCATTGTATTCTGCTCAGACTCTGTGGACATGAGCTGATGCTCTGTGGAATTCTGTGTGGGGCTTGAAGAGGTGTAAGTGAGCGGTCGAGGACTATGCTGAGCCTGCGTGGAAGTCACATAGATAGGGCTTTTTTGCAGCTCAGCCGGACCAGCAGGGCATGGTATAGGATCAACAATAAGTGACACAGGGCTTTCCCGGAGCTCTGCATCATCAGGGTTAGATGGCGAAGGACGTCCTTGGAGCTCTGTGGGTTCAGTGTGAGATGGCGCTTGACTTTCTTGAAGCTCTGTTGGATCAGGGTGAGATGGCGCAGGGCTTTCTTGGAGCTCAGTGGGTTCAAGGTTAGATGGCGCGGGGCTTTCTTGGAGCTCAGTGGGTTCAAGGTTAGATGGCGCAGGGCTTTCTTGGAGCTCAGTGGGTTCAAGGTTAGATGGCGCAGGGCTTTCTTGGAGCTCTTCTGAATCAGGGTGAGATGGCGCAGGGCTTTCTTGGAGCTCTTCTGAATCAGGGTGAGACGGCGCAGGGCTATGTTGGAGCTCTTCTGAATCAGGGTGAGACGGCGCAGGGCTTTCTTGGAGCTCAGTGGGTTCAGGGGGAGACGGCGCAGGACTATGTTGGAGCTCAGTGGGTTCAGGGGGAGACGGCGCAGGACTATGTTGGAGCTCAGTGGGTTCAGGGGGAGACGGCGCAGGACTATGTTGGAGCTCTGTTGGATCAGGGGGAGACGGCGCAGGACTATGTTGGAGCTCTGTTGGATCAGGGTGAGACGGCGCAGGACTATGTTGGAGCTCTGTTGGATCAGGGTGAGACGGCGCAGGACTATGTTGGAGCTCTGTTGGATCAGGGTGAGACGCCGCAGGACTATGTTGGAGCTCTGTTGGATCAGGGTGAGACGCCGCAGGACTATGTTGCAGCTCTGTTGGATCAGGGTGAGACGCCGCAGGACTATGTTGGAGCTCTGTTGGATCAGGGTGAGACGCCGCAGGACTATGTTGGAGCTCTGTTGGATCAGGGTGAGACGGCGCAGGACTATGTTGGAGCTCTGTTGGATCAGGGTGAGACGCCGCAGGACTATGTTGGAGCTCTGTTGGATCAGGGTGAGACGCCGCAGGACTATGTTGGAGCTCAGTGGGTTCAAGGTTAGATGATGCAGGACTTTGTTGGAGCTCAGTGGGTTCAAGGTTAGATGATGCAGGACTTTGTTGGAGCTGTGTTGGATCAGGGTGAGATGGGGCAGGGCTTTGTAGGAGATCAGTGGGTTCAGGGTTAGATGGCGGAGGACTTTGTTGGAGCTCTGTTGGATCAGGGCGAGACGCCGCAGGACTATGTTGGAGCTCAGTGGGTTCAAGGTTAGATGATGCAGGACTTTGTTGGAGCTCTGTTGGATCAGGGTGAGATGGGGCAGGGCTTTGTTGGATATCAGTGGGTTCAGGGTTAGATGGCGGAGGACTTTGTTGGAGCTCTGTTGGATCAGGGCGAGACGCCGCAGGACTATGTTGGAGTTCAGTGGGTTCAGGGCGAGATGGCGCAGGACTATGTTGGAGCTCAGTGGGTTCAGGGCGAGACAGCGCAGGACTATGTTGGAGCTCAGTGGGTTCAGGGCGAGATGGCGCAGGACTATGTTGGAGCTCTGTTGGATCGGGGCGAGACGGCGCAGGACTATGTTGAAGCTCTGTTGGATCGGGGTGAGACGCCGCAGGACTATGTTGGAGTTCTGTTGGATCGGGGTGAGACGCCGCAGGACTATGTTGGAGCTCTGTTGGATCGGGGTGAGACGCCGCAGGACTATGTTGGAGCTCAGTGGGTTCAAGGTGAGATGGCGCAGGGCTATGTTGGAGCTTAGTGGGTTCAAGGTGAGATGGCGCAGGACTATGTTGGAGCTCTGTGGTTTCAGGGTGAGATGGAACAGGACTATGTTGGAGCTCAGTGGGTTCCGTGTGAGATGGGGCAGGGCTTTGTTGGAGCTGTGTGAGTTCCGGGTGTGATGGGGCAGGGCTATGTTGGAGCTCTGTGGGTTCAGGTTGAGATGGGGCAGGGCTATGTTGGAGCTCTGCGGGCTGAGGGTCAGAAGGGGCAGGGCTATGTTGGAGCTCTGTGGGTTCAGGTTGAGATGGGGCAGGGATATGTTGGAGCTCTGCGGGCTGAGGGTCAGATGGGCCAGGGCTATGTTGGAGCTCTGTGGGTTCAGGTTGAGATGGGGCAGGGCCATGTCGGAGCTCTGCGGGTTCAGGTTGAGATGGGGCAGGGCCATGTTGGAGCTCTGCGGGTTCAGGTTGAGATGGGGCAGGGCCATGTTGGAGCTCTGCGGGTTCAGGTTGAGATGGGGCAGGGCTATGTTGGAGCTCTGTGGATTGAGGGTCAGATGGGGCAGGGCTATGTTGGAGCTCTGTGGGTTCAGAGTGAGATGAGGCAGGACTGTGTTTGACCTGTGCAGGTACAGGGTGAGATAGCGCAGGACTTCGTTGGAGCTCTGTCGATTCATGGTGAGACGGCGCTGGACTGTATTGGAGTTCTGTGGGTTCAGGATGAGATGGTGCAGGACTATGTTGGAGCTCTGTGGATTCATGGTGAGATGGCGCAGGACGACTATGTTGGAGTTCAGTGGGTTCAGGGTGAGATGGCGTAAGACTTTGCTGCGATTGCATACAGAGGGTCTTGGTAGTACTCTGTGGTGGCTCTGAACAGATGTCACTTGGAATCGGTGGTTGTGAAATGCTAACAGGTGCTAACTGCGTGGGACTGATGGGCGATGCCGGGGTAGGAGTGTGAGAGATTGGAGTGTGTGGGATTAGCTCCTCCTCCTGAGGCCTGCAGGTGGAGCAGACGTAATCTTCAGACCCCGCCCTGCCCTCCCCAGCCTGGACAATACACTCTTTATGGACACACCTGTAACACAACAAAAAAAACATGTATGTTTGCTGAGTTTCAATCATTCTTAGGAGGAAGTTCAGCCTGCAGAACAGAAATTATGGGCGAAAGCATGAAACTGAGCCCCAGTCTGCCGGTAACCCTCACAGTAAAAGCCACATCAGGCCTTTTCAGGCTTTTAATGTGAAGTAGCTAAAGGAAGTGTTTTTTTAACCTTTAGTTAACCCGGGAAAATCCCCATTGAGATAAAATCTCTTTTCAAGGGCGCCCTGGCCAAGAAAGGAAAAGGACAGCAAGTTTAACAGTACAGACATAAAACAGCAGTACAAACTAGAATCAAAATATTTACCCTTTTACCTTTATACAAACACAGCAGTCGCAACCCACTATCAAACCAGTACATTAAGACTTCATGAGCAGTTAAAATCCATCAATATAATGTCTGCTTATTCAAAAACAGTTACATTTATCTTTAAAAACCTCTGTAAATCAAGGATTTGAACTTCCCAAGAGGTACCAGTACCTCCAGCCAAGGGTCCTTTGCAAGGAGTTCCAAGTTAATGGTGCACTGTAGTCACCCTGGAAAGTTTTAAGAGCAGCAGCCTGCTGGACCAGGTATGATGACTACTGACCGCAAAGCTGAGGAGGCTATTAATGTAACGCGGTAATTTGCAAATGAGTGCCTTATAAATAAAGATACACAAATGTAGATGTCTCCGCATAGCTAATGATGGCCAATCCACCATATCATATAATCTGCAGTGATGGGTGCGCGATTTAGCAAGTGTAATAAAATGCAACGCTGCATGGTATGCAGAATCAAGATCCTTTAACAATGATGAAGCTGTAGTTTTCCAATATCATTTACGAAAATGGTGAATAAAACTGGAGCCAAGATCGAGCCCCGGGGGACACACCGCTGGAGATCTCAAGGGGTTTAGACATGTGATTGTCGATACAGACACTGAGCTCTATCAGTGAGAGTTTCTAAACCAGTTCCCAACCTCTTTACTAAAACCCACATTTGGATCGCAGTAAGTCATGATCGACTGAGTCAAATACCTTAGATAAATCAACAAACTATTTTCATTTGATTTCATTTTTAACTTTGCAAGATAAGCTCTAGATGTAATGTGTGTGTGTACCTAAAGCAGCAGATACAAGTCAGATAGTCCTGTGGTGTGTAGAGATCAGGGGCATGGTCACAGAGAGGGCAGGGCAGGGCCGGGTCACACGACTCGCACAGAAACGGGTGATTGGCCCACTGGCCTGATGACCTCACACCACAGCGGCGGCAGGTTCTGCAGTTCTGCAGGAGAGAGAGGGAGGTTTTAAAACACACACACCCCCCCTCATATACCGGACAGGTTTGTCCACAGTGTGTGTTTGTCACCTTGCAGCTCCAGCTGGTGCTCGGTGTGTGATCCAGAGGTGGTGTGAGACAGTGTGTGTGGTAGGCTTTATCACAGCGTTCACACACCAGCAACACGCCGTCATCTCCTCGCAGCCTTACGCACACACAGAGGAGAGAGAGGACAGCGGGGTGAGTGCACTTCAACAACAAAGCTGGTCAGATTGTCAAACGCCGTCTGAAACCTCCACGTTTCAACGCTGCATGTCTTCCAGGAGAAATTGTCTGCTCCGTTATCTCCCTCCTCTCTATTCAGCCCGCCTTTCAATGTGGTCGAACAGAAGTGAACACTGTTGCCTCCAGACGTGGTCTGACGCCACCTGGTTTCAGCTTTATCACACAAACACAGTCATCTATGTTTTCACTCTATCCCGACATCAGATGCACAGAGACAAACAGCAGGAAGCAGAGGGTCGTGTTTCCTTCCTTCCTGCAGACACTTTTGCCACCTGATGGCTGTTGGAGATTGGTTTGATGCCGTTTCATGTCAGCTATCTAGAAAACATCACATTATACTGAAGCTACATCAACTGGAGGCTGAGCAGCTGCTTATTTTTACCTCCAACAGTTACAGAACATGAGGCAAAATGCGGCTGCTAGACTGCTGCCTGGTACAAGGAAGAGGGACCACATCTCTTCACTGGGTACCAGTCAAATACAGAGTGGATTTTAAGGTTCTTTTTATTGTTTTTAAGGCCGGGCACAGATCGTCATCCCAGCTCCTTTTAGCTATTCAACACGCTCGCCTGATAAAGGCTGATCGTGCTTTTTCGTAGTAAAGCACCCAAGGTTGTGGAACAAACCTCCCATTTTCATTAGATCATCCCTAACCACTGAGACCTTCAAGTCACGTCTTAAAACGTATTTTTATTTGTTGGCGTCGAGTCAATCTAGGGACGTCCATCATCAACTGTCCTGGTCGCTTCATATTTCTATTTGTTGCTGCCTGCTTCATCACTGTCGTATGTTTTACTATATGCTCCTTTTTATTCTTTTCTTCTTGTTGTTTTAATTGTATAACTGTGCACAGCACTTTATTCAGCAGGGAAATATCTGCTGCTAATTGCTGCCCCATTTTCACCAGCTAGCTGCTAACTGTGTCTGGAAACACTGAGACTAACCCAGAAACATGAGAGAAAATGTACTCAGCGTTTCCACTAGGATCTTTAATACGGGGGGGGGTAGACCACCAGAAACTACTAGTGTCAGAGCGGGCGTGTTATGGACACGTGGCGGCGTCGTGACACATTATTTTTGCCTAAAAGTTGGTCTGACCGAGGCGACTCTGAGAGCAGACGATCCATCAGTCAGAGAAACAAGCTGTCTGTCGTACCTGCAGCTCTGACACACTCGACACTCAGGACACTGCCAGCCGGTCCTGCACAGGGCCGAGGGCGTCAGGGGGGGGTCCAGGCAGCTGCCGTGATAACAGTTACCGCAGCAACAGCACATCAACACGCCGCTGACGTCACCGCTGCCCGAACACAAGACGCATTGTGAGGACACTGCGGAGAGAGAGAGCGAGTGAAGTGTGTTTCCAAACAAACTCAACACACCGGCCAGAAAAACATATCACCATAACAACAAGTGTGTACCTGCGTGCGTGTGTGTCCCTGCGTGAGTGTCCCTGCGTGCATGAGTGTGTGTCCCTGCGTGAGTGTCCCTGCGTGCATGAGTGTGTGTCCCTGCGTGCATGAGTGTGTGTCCCTGCGTGAGTGTCCCTGCGTGCATGAGTGTGTGTCCCTGCGTGAGTGTCCCTGCGTGAGTGTACGGACCTGCGTGCGTGAGTGTCCCTGCGTGAGTGTACGGACCTGCGTGCGTGAGTGTGCGTACCTGCGTGAGTGTCCCTGCGTGAGTGTACGTACCTGCGTGCGCATCCCTGTGTGCGTGAGTGTCCCTGCGTGCGTGAGTGTACGTACCTGCTTGAGTGTCCCTGCGTGAGTGTACGTACCTGCTTGAGTGTCCCTGCGTGAGTGTACGTACCTGCTTGAGTGTCCCTGCGTGAGTGTACGTACCTGCGTGCGCGTCCCTGTGTGCGTGAGTGTCCCTGCGTGAGTGTACGGACCTGCGTGCGTGAGTGTGCGTACCTGCGTGAGTGTCCCTGCGTGAGTGTACGTACCTGCGTGCGCATCCCTGTGTGCGTGAGTGTCCCTGCGTGCGTGAGTGTACGTACCTGCTTGAGTGTCCCTGCGTGAGTGTACGTACCTGCGTGCGCGTCCCTGTGTGCGTGAGTGTCCCTGCGTGCGTGAGTGTACGTACCTGCGTGCGTGAGTGTGCGTACCTGCGTGCGTGAGTGTGCGTACCTGCGTGCGTGAGTGTGCGTACCTGCGTGCGTGAGTGTGCGTACCTGCGTGCATGAGTATGCGTACCTGCGTGCGTGAGTATGCGTACCTGCGTGAGTGTGCGTACCTGTGTGCGTGCGTGTGTACCTGCGTGCATGCGTTTGCGTACCTGCGTGCGTGCGCGTACCTGCGTGCGCGTGCGTACCTGCGTGACTGTGCGTACCTGCGTGAGTGTGTCTTGTACACAGTGTGCGTCTCTGCTTCCAGTCCTGGTGAGCTCCGGCCGCGGCGGCGCAGGGGAAGTGGTAGCTCCGCCCACAGTTCGTCTCCTGGCAGCGCAGCGACGCTCCGAGCCGGCGGCAGAATGCACACACCTGCACAGGTAAAAGAGAGAGGGGGGCGGGGCTTAGCGACATCGTACTCCTCCTGAAAATGAACAGCAGCGACCAATCAGATGACACACAAACCCACCTGCGTGCTTCCTGAGTCGATGGCTTTGTCCACGTAGAGCAGCGATTGGCCCTCGCCACGACACACCCCTTCTGACCAGGCGGCACACTGCAGGTGGGCGCAGCACTGACCTGCACACAGAGAGAGAGACAGAGACAGAGAGAGAGAGACAGAGACAGAGAGAGAGAGAGAGAGAGACACAGAGAGAGAGACAGAGACAGAGGGGGGGGGTTACCTGATGAAACTTTACTCAGCAGGTAAACGAACAGACGGAGCTGCCGAGACGAACCTGTGGGGTCAAACAGCGACTGGACGTCGATGTCGTGTGGAAGGCCGATGGGTCCGAGCTGCTGCACAAACTCTGAGGAAGACTCTGAAAGGTCAGGAGACAGGTGATCAGCAGGCGATCGACAGACGATCGACACGTGATCAGTATTATGTATTTTCTGGAAGGAGGATGGAGAGTACTCACCACTCTGCTCTGGACTGCTGCACCTGCACACACACATACACACACACACACACACACTCGATTAATTGATCGCATTAACACAATAAAACTTGAGTGTACTGAAAACGTAAACAGGAAGTGAGGTCAGTACTCACGCGGGCGGGGCCAGGTCGCCGCGGTAGCAGTGGTCGTGGCAGTCGTTGTCTCGGTCAGGGGAGGCGCGGCGGTTGAGAATGTGAAGCGGGATGTAGCCCGGCGTCGGGCCGAACACCACCAGGCGGCCCTGGCCAAGGGGGGGCTCGTCGCCACGGTAACAGAAGGCACACTGCTTCAGACTGCAAGAGACGGCGAGGACAGAGAGACTTTAGGCGGACGCAGTGACCCTCGTCAGGTGAGGATCAATACAGATTATTATTAATTAGTTTGGTGTATCAGACTGTCATTGCTGCAGGTTTTACCCTGAGCCTAAACCCGGTTCTAGCCTGGACCTTAAACCCCCTCACGCTCTGTCTCACCGCTGCTTGGTGTGTCCCAGGCTGGCGGTCGGCGAGGCCCCCGAGTCCTCCGACAGACAGCGCTGGAACAGGGGGACAGAGAGTCCTCGTCCTCCAGTCGGGGACGGGGGGAGATCGGAGGACTGGAGCAGGGGCTCATGGTGGGACTGCGCTCCATGGGACTGGCCCCGCCCCCATCTGTCTCCATAGGAACCGTGCTAGGACTGCGGTCTACCTCCATGGGCGCGGGGCTGTGGCTCGGACTGGGCCGGTCCTCCTCCACAGGATCAGGAGCAGGTCTGGGGCTGGAGGCGAGGCTGTGGACCGGGCTACGTTCAGGGGACGGGGCGGGGGAGGGGGGCTGACTGACCCGAGGTTCTTCCCCAGGACTGGAAGTTGGTCCTGGGCTGGAGGCGGCGAGCGGGGCAGCAGGAGCAGGGCCGGTTCTGTCCTCCTCCTCAGCACTGGGAGCTGGTTCTGGGCAGGATTCTGGGACCGTAGGGTCAGGGTCCGGCTTAGGTTGCGGGCTGAGCGGGTCCTGGCTGGGTTCTGGATTTGTGTTTGTGGATTTTCTCCTGGAGGTGGACCGGCGGCGTCCCGTTGTCTTCTCCTTGACCTCCTTCGCCTCTGCGGACGCTACATGACACAAAACCACAGAGCAAAGTTAACTAGAAACCCAGACCACAAGAGACGAGGTCCAATCAGAGGATCCAGGACCTTAAATAATGGTGCACTACACGTTCCAGCAGGAGCGTAACTTTAACTGGGTTCCCTATAACCCTCGTGCAGTAACGTGTTGCACGTGCAGGTTCAGCTGACACCTCGGCACAGATCGGTCTTCACACTCGCCTCGTAATCTTCTCTGTTCGCACGTCTGTATTTTTAGACGTGTCTGTGAGCGAGACGGTCCACATGCTAATGATCGCCGTGCACGCGCACCAACGCGACCACGTGACACTTAAACTCTCACACAGCAATGGTTACATCCAGTCACAGTTCACTGCAGCCCTGCTTTGTCCCGTCAGACCGCCTGATCCCGGACCTTTGTGGTTCAGGACTTCCTGCTCTGCTGCGTTTACTCAGGAACATTTAAATAAAGTTCTGATGGTTTGAATAAAGTTCAGACAGACTGACGATGTCGTCAGGACGAACCCCTCCGTACCTGCACGCTCTCCACCGGTCTTCTGGGGGGGTTTGGTCTCCGCGGCGTCCGTGCTCTCTTCGTCCTCTACCTGGGCTCGGCCTCGACTCCGCCCCCTGCACACAGAAACACACAGCGGGTCAGGTGCAAATTCAAACTCAAATTTCAGATACGTCCCCGCTCTCCTTTATATTTTACACGCTTCTTTATCTGCAAACGTTCTGCTGTTGTTCTTTTAATAAGTACTTACACACTACAGAGAGCCGCCTGCAGAGTTACAAGCAGCTTCCCTGAGAGGAAGCCTCCCTCACACAGGAAGACCCGGATCAGTCACACCGCTACTGGAGGGGGGTCGCCAGACGCCCCACGACACGACATCATGGCCATTTTAAACTTTTTTCAAACTTTAAATTGTGTCTCCAGAGGAAAACTCTTCTCTAGTGGACTGAAAAAGACTTGGCGTCCGTGTATAAATACTGTATTAATGAAATATCGTGATCCTAACTGAGCAGATCCACTGGAGGGTTTAGCTCAAGGGCTGAAAGAGGAGGGAGAGCGCCGTGTACGCCGCACACCCAGCTTTTATCCTGCCGCCGCGGGGGGACAAGCTCGCTTCTCTGACCTTCGGGCCGAGCCTGTCGTGCGTACGTTAAGATCTGAAGAAAGATGTGATGAGCTTTAAGCAGCACGTACACGACGGAGCTGAACGCCGCTCTCTCTCCCTCACATTCTCTCGTCCCTTGAAGGAGGAGGAGAGCCGCACGTTTGAGTCTGGCTTCTGCGGAGCTTTATCGCTCCTCGCCGCTCCAGACCGATACACGCCGTGTTCACCTGCATGCGTCACCTGAAGACAGCTGAGGAGCTGCTGATGTCACCTGACCAAGTGTTCAGGTCACCATGATGACATCACAGCAGAGAGAGAGAGACAGAGAGCAGCAGGAGGTAAAACCTGGAGCAGACTCAGTCCAGTTCACTTCCCCTCCTCCTCGCTGCGCACTACCCAGCATGCAACTTAACCACTTCCTCTGCAACACGTCTCCTTCACCACAACACACACACACACACACACACACACACACACACAGCGCTGCATTTGAAAGTTGGAAATTCCAGCTCTGAAACAGCAAAAGAGTGCGACTGCAGCTGCGGCGCCACATTAGGCCACGCCCACTAACACACCTGAACACAATCGTCTTTCCTGTTGGTTTCTGCACTCGCCTTGTGGTGTGTGTGTGTGTCACATGGTGTCACGGCGTCACCAGGAGCACATCGCGGCGCTCTGACTTACTTCTTCCTTGATTTTGGAGGTGGCGGCGGAGGAGGAGCAGGCGGCGGCGGAGGTGGAGGGGTGGGAGGCGCAGAACGGCCGCTGCTCCCATCTTTCCGAGGTCTCCCACGAGGCCGCCTCTCGGGGGCGGGGCTAGTAGCGGCGGCGGCTTTGGCCAGCTGAGCGCTGCGCCCGGCGCGTGTGACGGGAGGCGGCGGTCCTCTGTCCCGAGGCTCCGGAGACTGAGCCTCAGATGGCATTCTGGGTAGAAACAGAGACAGAGAGAGAGACATGATTATTACATCACAGCTTCCTGACGCCACAGCTGAACAGGTGTGATGGAGGCGTGTCGCCATCGTCCAGTTACATCTCTCACGGCCGCCTTCAGGAGCGGCGTGCACGTGTTGTCAGCCTTTAGACGGCGAGGACTTCCTGTTTCCTCCCTCAGCAGACTGAACACGACCACAACCAGACGTGTGAAGATGTCACGTGGACTCAGAGGGACCGTCACACCACCTGACTGTTAGGCATCATCACTTCCTGTCCTCGCTCGCCGTCTTGTTGTTGTTATTTAATTAAGACAAAGGTCAGTTGTGGGTATAGCGCCACCTGGAGGACACAGGAAGTGTCTGAAGACCTGGACCCGCCGGTTCAGTCCTGATGAATCAGACTCACATGTGAACAGAGACCCTCTACAGGAAGTGGTCTTGTTCTCTCCGCTCCTGCCTTAACTTCCTGTTTTACTCCTACGCTTAATGGCAGGCGTTCTGACCCGGTCGGTTCCTTCACTCGAGACACGGCGGATCTGAGAAGAACCGGAGAACCCACAGCTCTAGTGCCCTCCGAGACCGTAGGAGTTTACTGGCCAACAACCACCCTGAGAACAGATCCGCATCAGCACTAGAGCCGGACCCTGAGACCCAGCTGGAGCTCAGAGTCCACTACAGTCCAGTAAAGTAGACTGGAGCCGGACCCTGAGACCCAGCTGGAGCTCAGAGTCCACTACAGTCCAGTAAAGTAGACTGGAGCCGGACCCTGAGACCCAGCTGGAGCTCAGAGTCCACTACAGTCCAGTAAAGTAGACTGGAGCCGGACCCTGAGACCCAGCTGGAGCTCAGAGTCCACTACAGTCCAGTAAAGTAGACTGGAGCCGGACCCTGAGACCCAGCTGGAGCTCAGAGTCCACTACAGTCCAGTAAAGTAGACTGGAGCCGGACCCTGAGACCCAGCTGGAGCTCAGAGTCCACTACAGTCCAGTAAAGTAGACTGGAGCCGGACCCTGAGACCCAGCTGGAGCTCAGAGTCCAACAGAGTCCAGTAAAGTAGACTGGAGCCGGACCCTGAGACCCAGCTGGAGCTCAGAGTCCACTACAGTCCAGTAAAGTAGACTGGAGCCGGACCCTGAGACCCAGCTGGAGCTCAGAGTCCAACAGAGTCCAGTAAAGTAGACTGGAGCCGGACCCTGAGACCCAGCTGGAGCTCAGAGTCCACTACAGTCCAGTAAAGTAGACTGGAGCCGGACCCTGAGACCCAGCTGGAGCTCAGAGTCCACTACAGTCCAGTAAAGTAGACTGGAGCCGGACCCTGAGACCCAGCTGGAGCTCAGAGTCCAACAGAGTCCAGTAAAGTAGACTGGAGCCGGACCCTGAGACCCAGCTGGAGCTCAGAGTCCACTACAGTCCAGTAAAGTAGACTGGAGCCGGACCCTGAGACCCAGCTGGAGCTCAGAGTCCACTACAGTCCAGTAAAGTAGACTGGAGCCGGACCCTGAGACCCAGCTGGAGCTCAGAGTCCACTACAGTCCAGTAAAGTAGACTGGAGCACACTGACAACATGTCAATCATTATGACTGTGGGCTCCTGCAGCCAATCACAGCTCACACAGACAAAGTGACCTCCGTCCCTGTAGAGCGCTCCCTGTCCCGTTCGTCTCCTCCTAAAACTGGACAACAGTTAAATGATCAGAGCGGCTGCTGCGTCACGTGCAGCGTGTCCCCCAGGGGCCAGGAGGCGGGAACACCTGGTGTTCAGGCTGTCAGACAGGAGACGACGACGAAGACGAGGATGATGAAGGTATTAAACCCAGACACTGAGGGAGCCACTGCAGAGCCCAGACACAGCACACAGGTAACCCGAGTCCAGGTCCAGGTCCAGAGGAGCTCCTGTCACCAAACTACGGTGGCTGAGAGAACTCAACACAAGCAAACACCACTAACCGTCCAACCACCGGAGGTCAGATCGTTACTGTTAGTATTACAGTCACACAGCTAGCGTTAGCATTAGCCGTTCAGCAGGTGCACCAGGTCCCACTGGGTCCCACTGGGTCTAACTTCTGTCACCTCCTCCTATAAAAACATGTGGAGGAAACAAACAGCAGGTGCAGCGTGACGGCTAGCACACAGTTAGCTTAGCACAGCACCATACAAACATGTACACATAAACATATCAGGTCAGCGGTGCGTGCTCAGGATGCGAGAGCTAACATGCTAATGGACCATCTGTCAGAGCAGTTGGACCGGGATCCGTCCGATGATCCACCTTTACCTGGCTGTTGTCATCACAGCGCGTGCACACACGCTTCACCTGGCGGCGCAGCGGCTCGGGTGTCAGGTGTGCGAAGCGGTGGCTCCGTAAATCACACCGAACCGCGGAGCAGCTAGCCGTTAGCCGTTAGCTTCCCTCGGACCGCCCAGTTGACTGATCACTTCTCTGTTAGCATTAGCATTAGCTGGCTAGGCTAGCTGTTAGCGCCGAACCAGAACCGAGTGCAGCCCGGCTCCTCCGCGCGCGTATTCACGGTGTGTTTCGGTGCTCACACCTGGCGCCAGGTGTGAGCAGGGAGCTGCAGACAGGAGGAGAAGGAGGAGGAGGAGGAGGAGGAGAAGCGTCTTACTGATTTGATGCGGTTCTCTTTTTCCTCTCCAGCTTTCCAGACAACTTCAAACCGAGATCAGTTCTTAAATCCAGCAGCGAACTTCTCCGGGAGACCGCGTCCGGGTCACAGAGTCCGGCATGGTACCGGGTCCAGACGGAACATCCCTTTAATCGCGGAAGGAAGAGAAAAACACGGTTTTTGCGCTGAAAAACTGGCGACAAATTAAAGTTGAAGCGGTCGCTCCGTCATGGAGGCCATGTTTGGGAGCGACCGAAGCACCGCCTGTCAGCGCCAGCAGGAGAAGTAGGTCCCACTGAACATGGACCACTGTCCCGGACCAGAACCGTGGACCGGGTCGAGCTTGTGGATAGAGGTGGCGCGCACCGGGAGCAAGACTTTAAGACGTGTAGGGGTCTCCGGGTCCGCCTCAGTCCGGGTCCGTTTGTTTGTGTTGTGTAAAAAGTGTTTCTGACCCCGCGGAGGGATCCGGTGGAGGGGCTGCTCCGGTGAAGCGGTCTCTGTCATCAGACCTGAAGTCCCGGACCGGATACGCGACCAGGATCCGGACTGCTAATCAATACAAATATAATTAAATAAAACAGTCTGTGATCAATACGCACCCCTTTTTATTAAACACGTGATTATTGTTTATTAGGCATTTATGATCTCTTATTTTGAAATGTAACACCGGAACTGTAAATCACATAAACACAACGACTAATCAGATGATTGGCTGGCCCACCCGAACGTGTGTTTTCTAATGTGAGTGTTTATGTCTGTAGAACCTCCTTAATGTGACTAGAACAACCTCAGAACCGCTCAGTCACCCAAGATCCCTAGAACCTCAGGCCACTAGAACCACCTAAAGGACCTCTAGAACCTCCTTGATTACCAACAGAACCACCTAAAGTCACAATTTTCACTGACTACGAGAACCTCTAAAGGACCACTAGAACCACATATAGGACCACAACCACCTAAATGGCCTCTAGAACATCCTTAATGACCACTAGAACCACCGTAAGAATCAGAACCTTTATGACCACTAGAACCTCCTCGGTGACCACTAGAACCACTGTATGACCGCCACATAGAGGAACTCTACAATAATCAATAACCTAAGGGATCCTTAGAACATCTTCAAAAAGCACTAACACCCAACCACCTAAAGGGCCTCAAGATCCCACCTTAATAACCACTAATACCACCGTAAGAATCAGAACCTTTATGATCACTTTAACCTCCTCAGGGGTCACTAGAACCACCCAATCTCATAAATTATCTCTAGAACCTCCTTCATTACCAATAGAACCAATTAAAGAGACTCTACAATTTTCACTGACCACAAGAACCTCTCAAGGACCCCTGGAACCTCCCCAGTGACCACTAGAACCACATATAGGACCACAACCGCCTAAATGACCGCTAGAACTTCCTGTGTGACTACTAGAACCTCCTCAGTGGTCACTTGAACCACATATAGGACCACAACCACCTAAAAGACCACTAGAACCTCCTTAATGACCACTAGAACCATATATAGGACCACAACTGTCTAAATGACCACTAGAACCTCCTCAGTGACTACTAGGACCATATATAGGACCCAAACTATCTAAATGACCACTAGAACCTCCTTACTGACCACTAGAACCATATACAGGACCACAACTATCTAAATGACCACTAGAACCTCCTCAGTGACCACTAGAACCATATAGGACCACAACCATCTAAATGACCACTAGAACCTCCTTAATGACCACTAGAGCCCCTAAGTGAAAACATCAACCACCTAAATGGCCTCTAGAACCTCCTGTATGACCAGTAGAACCACCCAACATCATAAATGATCTCTAGAACCTCCTTCATTACCAAAAGAACCACCTATAGAAAATCTCCAATTTTCACTGACCACAAGAACCTCTCAAGGACCCCTGGAACCTCCCCAGTGACCACTAGAACCACATATAGGACCACAACCGCCTAAATGACCGCTAGAACTTCCTGTGTGACTACTAGAACCTCCTCAGTGGTCACTTGAACCACATATAGGACCACAACCACCTAAAAGACCACTAGAACCTCCTTAATGACCACTAGAACCATATATAGGACCACAACTGTCTAAATGACCACTAGAACCTCCTCAGTGACTACTAGGACCATATATAGGACCCAAACTATCTAAATGACCACTAGAACCTCCTTAATGACCACTAGAACCATATATAGGACCACAACTGTCTAAATGACCACTAGAACCTCCTCAGTGACTACTAGGACCATATATAGGACCCAAACTATCTAAATGACCACTAGAACCTCCTTACTGACCACTAGAACCATATACAGGACCACAACTATCTAAATGACCACTAGAACCTCCTTAATGACCACTAGAGCCCCTAAGTGAAAACATCAACCACCTAAATGGCCTCTAGAACCTCCTGTATGACCAGTAGAACCACCCAACATCATAAATGATCTCTAGAACCTCCTTGATTACCAAAAGAACCACCTATAGAAAATCTCCAATTTTCACTGACCACAAGAACCTCTCAAGGACCCCTGGAACCTCCTTGAACTGTTATTTTGAAATGTAACGCCGGTACTGTAAATCACCAATCAAGTGATTGGCCGGCCCACCTGCCCGTCTACCTGTGCACACGATGAACATGTGTTTGGGGGGGTTTAAACTGAAAGCTGTCAGCTGGCTCATCTGAAGCTTCCTCCTCCCCTCGTCTCCTCGATGACTCCTTCCTGCTGCCTGATGTACATGCAGGCTCTCGCCCCACAGAGTGGACGACAGGTTAACTGTCAATAATCATTAAGCAATAACTGACATGATCGTTGAATAAACGAGGTGATTCCTCTCATTTCACCTGTTCTACGTTCCACCTTAAATCAATGTAAGCTTCTTTTTCTAACCACGGTAACGTCAGCTCTGAACTCGCACACTGGACGATGTGACGGGGGGACAGGCCAGCCCTCAGGGACTCCCCGGGAACGCCTCAAAGTCTGAGTGTGGGCCGCTGTCCCCCTGAACCTGAGCCTTAAACTGACCTCCTGGAGAGTGATAGGCTGAAACACACTGCACACTTTTATGGGTTTGGGACTTTTTCTTTATTATTATTCACGGAGCGACGGCCTTGCTGGCTCTCGCCCCACAGAGCGGCGAGAGGTAGCTGTCAGCAGGGTTCTTGCACCATTTTTAAAGTCGCGTTCAATGCTTTTTAAAACCTTTTCAAGACCTCAACAAATATAATTTACATGCAAACAACGCGGACATCAGCATAGCCCTACAAGTAGCCGCTGCATACCGCTGGAGCATTTTAGAAAATATGACCCGCAGCCAGACATCAACCTCTGCAGCTATCGTAAACCTAATATTAACGGCGGGGTCTCACATCGTCTAATACTGTTAATCTGACAAATACACGCTCATTAGACGTTTATGGTAGGAAAGTAAAAGCAACATCAACAAATTTAATACCTACAGCAAATTCAGGGTACATTTAAGACCATTTCTGACCTTTTGAGACTCTGTAAGGAGCCGTGGGAACCCCGGTCAATAACCATCTACATGTGTCTATGTACCAGTGAAGCAGCGAGCGCTGGGTCCTTTAAACGCCGCTACACTTTAGTTTAAAATCTGTTGAACATGTGGAGTAAAGAGCAGCAGGGCCGGAGCAGGAACCAGGGCGAGTGAGGAGCCATGAACAACAACAACAACAGCTCGTGGTTCCCAACAAACGTTTATTGACAAATATACAGAAACCCAAACATATAAAGAACTTTATCATTTAAAAGAACATGAAAACAGCAGCATCAGGGTCGTTGACAGCTTCTCAGGGACCGTCTGGAGGACACAGGTCAGATAAACTCCACTCCTCCATCTGTCACGTGGAAGGAGCTGCTCCGGGAAGCCTTCGTCCTGGAGGAGGAGGAGGAGGAGATGCAGTGGATGGTGAAGACCTGCCATCTCCTCTGCTCCTCGCTGCTTCCTGCTGCAGCGGCCATGTTGTTTGCCGCCTCCTGCCTGGAGCAAAGCAGCCGATGGGTCACCAGCCGCTGCCAGGGGCGACAGAGGTACGGCCGGTCGTGGTCAGAGGAGGAGGAGGGTCCACTGAAGCTCCTCCTGATGGCGTGGCAGGTGGCGAAGACAGTGATTCTGTAATCCCTGAGAGGAGGAGCCACACATGAGACGGTTCCAACCAACAAAGCTGGTAAAGGTAGAACCCATACCAGAACCTCAGTGACAACATCAACAAAGATTCTCTAGAACATCCTTAATATCGACTAGAACAAGCTCAATAACAGCTAGAACTGCTCAACCAGCTGAGATCCCTAGAACATCTTAGTGGCCATCAGAACCTCTTCACTGGCTACTAGAACCTCCTCAGTGATTACTAGAACCACATATGGGACCCCTTAAACTGCCCCAATGACCATTTGAACTTCATAATGGACCAGTAGAACCACCTACAGGACAACTAGATCTTCCTCATTAACCACAAGAACCGTCGTCCAACTACATTAACGACCCCTAAAACTAAAGGTCCCCTAGAGCCTCCTCATTGACCACAAAAACCACCCATAGGGTCTCTAGAACCTCCTTAATGACCCCTAGAGCCTCCTCAGTGACCACAAAAACCACCCATAGGGTCTCTAGAACCTCCTTAATGACCCCTAGAGCCTCCTCATTGACCACAAAAAACACCCAACCTCCTAAAAACCTCCTAATGGACCACTACTTGCCAACTAGAACCTCCTAACTGATGAATAGCTACCTGAGCAGTCGGCCTAGCAGCTCTGCACACTTGCTGAGCTTCTCTTCCTGCTTGGCGACGCTGGCCCCACCCTCACATCGGTCCAGCCAATAGAAAGCGGAGATGCTGTCGATGAGGAGGAGCGCCAGGCCGGGCCGTGACGACAAGGAGGTCTCCAAGAAATGGAGGGTGAGGAGGAGCTGGGAGGAGGAGGAGCAGTGGACGACCAGCAGGCGAGACAGACACGAACGCAAAGCCGCCTCATCTGAGGCCGCCGAGGGCGAGCCGGAGCGAGCTGGACGGACAGAGAGAGAGAGAGAGAGAACATTTACATTAACTACATTTTTATACTGTGGTGCTTCTTCTTCGTTGGTGTGTGTGTACCTGTGTTCAGCCTGCTGTCCAGGATGCTGACCAGCCGTAACATGTCCAGACTGTAGTCTGTGTCCACGAACACAACGTCCACCTCCAGACCGCCGCTCGCCACCGGCAGCACACAGCGACACAGCAGGTGGTAGAGCAGCTCCGTCTTACCTGAGACACACACCAGTGACAGGAAGTCCAAACCAGGTCAGAGGTGAGTAAAGTACTTCCTGTGAGTAGAAAGCTTCAGTCTGCTGAACACTGGCGCTCTACTGTTTTTGTTCTACTTTCACTGTAAGGTCACCTGCTCAGTATTCGACCGCTCTGTTCTAGACTACTCTTCCAGTTTTTGGAGGTTGTTCACGACGTCTCGCACATACATTTCTTGATGGACAAGTGGTTTTACATGTTGCTAAAGCGGCCGCTAACGACCGCGTGGCATTTAATACAGCAGAGGGTACACTGTGGGCGGACTGATAGCTGCCTGTGCATCACTTTTTATCCTGCATTTAGAAGAAACTATTATCGGCTTAACGATATCACGCTCATTTACCAAAGACAGCAGAAAGCTCCTGTGAGCAGTGAACTCACCTGTTCCCTCTGTTCCATAGAGCTCCACCACCTCACCTGAGTCAAACACAGGTCAGCTGGTCAAACACTGTTAACATGCATCATCAATAACGTCTTATTTTTTATCACTGATGTCATGTGACATGTGCTGACAGGAAGTGGGCGTGTTCAGTCACCATGGTCGGGTCCTCCATCTTCAGGAAACAGACGAGGTTCGATGTCCTTCAGACAGCGACGAGCCTCCAGACGAGCAAACAGCTGCAGAGACACACCGCCAATCAATCTGCTGTTCCAGAGTGTAGACTGTCCCACCTACTGTAAATACACTGTTCCAGAGTGTAGACTGTCCCACCTACTGTAAATACAATGTTCCAGAGTGTAGACTGTCCCACCTACTGTAAATACACTGTTCCAGAGTGTAGACTGTCCCACCTACTGTAAATACAATGTTCCAGAGTGTAGACTGTCCCACCTACTGTAAATACAATGTTCCAGAGTGTAGACTGTCCCACCTACTGTAAATACACTGTTCCAGAGTGTAGACTGTCCCACCTACTGTAAATTCACTGTTCCAGAGTATAGACTGTCCCACCTACTGTAAATACACTGTTCCAGAGTGTAGACTGTCCCACCTATAGGAATACCAATAGGTACAGTCTTGCATCTCTGAACCATTAAGGTCCAGTAAACTATCAAAGCAACAACGTGTTGTGTGTGTTTCTATCTGCACTGTGCACAGACGGATCCAGCGTTACTGACCTCTGGTTTTAAATTAGCTTTAAAAAGCTGATTTAATGCGCAGGAGTGACTTTGACTCTGAAGGTAAGACGAGTCAAACTGAATCTGGGACTAACTGACATTTTACTAAATGTAAATAAATGTGTTTATTTTCTCACCTGAACGCCACTTTCCGTCATTTCAGCACGAACTTCATCTTCGTCTTCAAAACAACAGAAAAGCCGCGGCTTCTGTCCGACCTCACTTCCTCTTTCCGCTGTTGTACCGTATTGGACGGAGACGGACATATTACCGTAATGTGTCTGGTGTTCGCCGCCATGTTTTTCAAATTTATTTTTTTACTACCTTACAGCTCGTTTTTACTACTTTATATACAGCTCGTTTTTACTACTTTATGTACAGCTAGTTTTTACTACTTTATGTACAGCTAGTTTTAACTACCTTACAGCTAGTTTTTACTACTTTATGTACAGCTCGTTTTTACTACTTTATGTACAGCTCGTTTTTACTACTTTATGTACAGCTAGTTTTAACTACCTTACAGCTAGTTTTTACTACTTTATGTACAGCTCGTTTTTACTACTTTATGTACAGCTCGTTTTTACTACTTTATGTACAGCTAGTTTTTACTACTTTATGTACAGCTAGTTTTAACTACCTTACAGCTAGTTTTTACTACTTTATGTACAGCTCGTTTTTACTACTTTATGTACAGCTCGTTTTTACTGCTTTATGTACAGCTCGTTTTTACTACTTTATATACAGCTAGTTTTTACTACTTTATATACAGCTAGTTTTTACTACTTTATGTACAGCTAGTTTTTACTACTTTATGTACAGCTCGTTTTTACTGCTTTATGTACAGCTCGTTTTTACTACTTTATATACAGCTCGTTTTTACTACTTTATACAGCTAGTTTTTACTACTTTATGTACAGCTAGTTTTAACTACCTTACAGCTCGTTTTTACTACTTTATGTACAGCTCGTTTTTACTACTTTATATACAGCTCGTTTTTACTACTTTATATACAGCTAGTTTTTACTACTTTATGTACAGCTAGTTTTAACTACCTTACAGCTAGTTTTTACTACTTTATGTACAGCTCGTTTTTACTACTTTATGTACAGCTCGTTTTTACTACTTTATGTACAGCTCGTTTTTACTACTTTATATACAGCTAGTTTTTACTACTTTATGTACAGCTAGTTTTAACTACCTTACAGCTAGTTTTTACTACTTTATGTACAGCTCGTTTTTACTACTTTATGTACAGCTCGTTTTTACTACTTTATGTACAGCTCGTTTTAACTACCTTACAGCTAGTTTTTACTTCTTTATGTACAGCTAGTTTTAACCACCTTACAGCTACTTTTTACTACTTTATGTACAGCTAGTTTTTACTACTTTATGTACAGCTAGTTTTTACTGCTTTATGTACAGCTCGTTTTAACTACCTTACAGCTAGTTTTTACTTCTTTATGTACAGCTAGTTTTTACTTCTTTATGTACAGCTAGTTTTTACTACTTTATGTACAGCTAGTTTTTATGTACAGCTAGTTTTTATGTACAGCTCGTTTTTACTACTTTATGTACAGCTAGTTTTTACTTCTTTATGTACAGCTCGTTTTAACTACCTTACAGCTAGTTTTTACTTCTTTATGTACAGCTAGTTTTTACTACTTTATGTACAGCTAGTTTTTACTACTTTATGTACAGCTCGTTTTAACTACCTTACAGCTAGTTTTTACTTCTTTATGTACAGCTAGTTTTTATGTACAGCTAGTTTTTACTACTTTATGTACAGCTAGTTTTTACTTCTTTATGTACAGCTAGTTTTTATGTACAGCTAGTTTTTATGTACAGCTAGTTTTTACTTCTTTATGTACAGCTACTTTTTACTACTTTATATACAGCTAGTTTTTACTTCTTTATGTACAGCTAGTTTTTACTTCTTTATG